CCTCCCATCCCTGCTGCTCTGTCTGTGCACGCAGACACCACTCCCATGACAATCCATTTTTTACAATGTGCTCATTTCAGATCTTAAAAATGTCCTCTCCTGTTGTTTTTGTGTCCAATTCTTTGCAGCCATATATTTGTTCCTGTATTCCTTGCTTGTCTTCATCATCAATGTATCTGACAAACATCATCAATTGTGCATAGTTGGACACATCTGTAGATTCATCAAACTGTAAAGCGAACTTTTTTCTGGATGATTTTTTCTGAAATTTGTTTAATTATGCCTTCTGCCATGTCATCAATTCTTCTTGTCATGGTGTCATTTGAATGTGGGATGGTTTTAATTTTATCTACTTCTGTTTTGCCAAACATGATTTCAGTGATTCTGATAGCAGTAGGAATCACACAGTTCTTAGCAATGGTATGTGGTTTCTTCATTTTTGCTACCATGTGTGCAATTTCAAACGAAGCTTGTAGAGCTTGTTTAGGGAGCACAAAGTATGATTTCATAGCAGCACTTGATTTTCTCAAACTTTCACATTTTCTTGTGAAAAAATCTATTGATTTGTCCTTCAGATCAGGATGTTTAATATGAAGGTGCCTTTTCAGAAGGGAAGGCTTCATACAATGATTAGACAATGTCTCATTACAAATCTCATTACAAATCACACAGAGTGGTAATGCATCCCGCAGCTCCAAGCGTACGGTGTGGGGGGGCCCTGAGGCAGCGCAGCCTAGAAAATCCCTGTGCCGCTGCCGGCCCCCCACCTGTAGCCAGCCTGGGCTCTGGGCAGCTGCAGTGGGCAGGCTGCAAGCAGCTGCACCGGGTTCTGCAGCCCCAGCATCAGCTCCATACCAGCGACTGCATGCGCACCTGCCCCAGAGCCCAGGCTGGCTACAAACAGCTGCGCTCGGCTCCAGAGCCCCATCATCAGCTCTGTGCCAGCCGCGACAGCATGTGCGCCTCAGAGCAGAGAACAGGGATAGGGTCTGAGGCAGCGCAACCCTCCCCCGCTCTCTGCTCTGAGGGGCGCATGCAGTCGCCAGTATGGAGCCCAGGCTGGCTACAGGTGGGGGGCTGGCGGCAGCACAGGGCTTTTCCCCACATTCGGCAGTGGCGGGACTGTGGGGGCAGGCAGCAGCCCCTCTCCCATTGTCACAGTCCATTCCGAGCACCAGGAAGAGCCCAATGCCACCGCCAGCCCTCCCGTGCGCAGTGAACAGGGCCCCGGACAGGCCGGGTCGTGGGGCAATCCCCACAGCGCCCTGCCCCTCCCACACTCCATCCTGCACTGTGGGGGTCTCAGTCCGCCCTCCCCACCAAAGCCCAGGCAGGATAAAAAAGAAAGAAACTTACCTGCCTGTCAGTGGGGAGTGCACAGGTATGTGTGTGCCCACCCTCTCCCTCCTGCAGTAGCCTGTGACCGGCTTGGGGTGCAGGGGTGAGCGGCCAGACATGAACCTGGTGGCAGCAAGGGGAGCGGCGATGCCCCCTTGCTGCAGGGGTCTTCCGCGCCCGCGTACCCCCTGCCTGTGTCTCGCCTACCCCCAGGGGTACGCGTACCACTGATTAAGAAACTATGGACTAGATGACCCTTGAGAACTCTTCCAATTCTATGATTTTTTAGAATCATAGAATGAAAAATATAGAAGCAATTATATATTTCAGTGTTATTCGCAGATCAAAAATATGCAGGGAAATAGTTTCCTCACAGCTTCTTATAATATGGTAACAAATCATCAGCTCCCTTTCTTTCACAACTGGAGAGCAGTCAAAGCTATATGAAAGTGCAAGACGGTTCCACTGTATATGCTCTCTTTATACCTTATCTCTTGAAATTGCTCTGGGAAGAGGGAGGGGTAAATCCACGGAACAGCCACTGGGGCACAACAGGCCAGGGATAATTTTTTAGTGCTGGAGGACCTTCATTTCAACAATCTTTGGTTTGACCCTAAGTAACACAAATGTAAAGCAGATCTTGATAGCAAGAATAGGAACTAATTTAAAGTCTTATGCTAAGTAAAGGTCCTTTCAAATTAAATGCATCCATTGGTGGTATGGTGCTATTATATAAAGAAAGATGTAACCAAAAAAATTATTTACCTACTTGCAACTGAAACTAACACCAATATATTGTTTTCAAAATGGAAAAAGAGAAGTTTGATAAGGAAATATTTTTATTTCTGTATTGGGAGCAGACTAATCTTTTTAAAGCTTTTTTTTAAAATCATGTCTATTTTTGTTTTACAACTATCTTGATAACTGTAATATTTGTTTTCTTCACAGTAGTAACCTCTCATTGGTGAAACACAGAAATAAATTTTATCATCAATATATACATAAAGAATTATTTACACATAGTATACACTGTTTGATTTTGTTCAACAAGAACTTATTCCCAGATCTTAAATGTGACTGTTTTACTTTTGCTTTTAACAAGTGTTTCTTTTCTTTTAGGGTTGATATTCTATGGGCCGGCATTTGACCATTCTCAGGGAATGAGCCCTACAATGTGTGGAGCATATTATATTTCATTCCATTGCTTCCGTTTACATCTGAGTGCATTTTCAAAGCAACCCAAGGAAGGTATCGTACATTCAGAAATAGTTTTATTTTTATATTGGATGCCCATACCCACCTTTGTGACAGTTTTCAATAACTATATCTTAATATGGAAATATTTTATTAGAGATTGGTTTTGATATTTTGCTGCTGTTTGGGTTCATTTATACATTTGTTTATTTTTCTAACTATGTTATGGATATTTTACATTATAGTTCTATGAATGGGTCACTGTGATGTAGTATCTAGTGCTGATACGAAAAAATATTGCAGGATTAAATTCTGATCTTTTGGCCATCTGCATAAACCTTGAGTAGCTCTGTAGTCAGTGGAACTGCATGAAAATGCTAATTGAGTGAAAAATTAGTGTAACATTATAAGGAAGTTCAGACTAAGACTATGTTTGTTTGGTACAGGAATAACATAGGCTTGCTCATGAAAGAGAGTTGTTTCTTACAGTTATACCTCTAGTAGATCTGTATCTTTATTGTTTCATATGACATTAATTCAGTTTTTGGTTTTTAAGTTGAATAATACTTCTTAATGAGAGACACTCTTGTTCACAAAATCCTATTAATTGGAGAAACTAGAGGCTCGTTAATCTTTTTCCTATTCACTTTCTCTGAAAACTAGGTGTTTTCAACAGCTAGGAAAGGAAAGTGTAAGTAAAAGACTGGTACAATGGATGAAGCTGTAGAAGTGTCAACTGATGGGAACTCCTTGATAAAAGCTGTCTATCAAAGCAGACTTCGCCTCACAAGACTACTGTTAGAAGGTGGAGCCTACATTAATGAGAGTAATGACAGAGGTGAAACCCCTTTGATGATTGCTTGTAAAACTAAGCATGTGGACCATCAGAGTGTCAGCAAAGCAAAAATGGTTAAATATCTACTGGAAAATAAGGCCGATCCAAATATACAGGACAAATCTGGAAAGACAGCCTTGATGCATGCTTGTTTGGAAAAAGCTGGCCCTGAAGTGGTTTCTTTGTTGCTGAAAAGTGGAGCTGACCCAAGTCTACAAGATCATTCTAATTACTCTGCACTTGTATATGCAGTAAACTCTGAAGATAAGGAGACCTTGAAAGTTCTCTTAAATGCTTGCAAAGCAAGAGGAAAAGAAGTAATCATTATTACAACAGACAAGTCTCCATCTGGAAGACAAACCACTAAACAGTACTTGAATGTGCCTCCAGCTGACATTGAGGAATGTCATTCTCCAAATGCCTGCACTTCTCCCTCAGAAATAGAACTTAAAACATCTCCATCTCCACTTTCGAGTTCACGTGAAAAAGAAAAAGCTCTCTTTAGTTTTAAGGAGCTGGATCATCCAAGAAACAAACAAGATATATCCAACTCAGTTTCTCCCACTAAAAAACCTAATTTAACACATGGAGGATCCAAGTTATCACCAGTGCAACGTCTGCAGTCTGAGCCTTGGATAAAGAGTTCTCCTTCCTTGCTCCATCAGAATAAAATTTCCTCTTTACAAGAAGAACTTCAGGATATAACTCCAGAGGAAGAACTGTCTTTTAAAATCAATAGTCTGGCTTTATCCAAGAGATATATCACCAGGCACCAAAGTATTGATGTAAAAGATACTGCTCATCTGTTGAAATCCTTTGATCAAACTGGTTCAAGAAAGTTATCATATGATGAGATAAATTCTCAGTCACTTTATGCTGAGGCAAAACATAATCAGGGTGAAATTTCAGTGGATCGGGATTCAGATTCAGTTCAAATGAGTTTTGTTTCAACCCTGAGAAGTATTATTCAAAAGAGAAGCTTAGGGGCAAATCACTACAGCTCTGATTCTCAGTTAACTACCACTAGGAGTCCTGCTACCACAGAAGATAGCAAGTCATTTCTAGGAAAGAAAAGGATTCTCTCTCCATCTTCATCCTTGTTATCAAGTTCCAGGGAATTGTTGGAGAACATACCTCTTGGTCCTCTGAGTAGAAGAAATCATGCTGTTTTAGAGCGACGTGGTTCAGGAGCTCTCCTGCTAGATCATATTGCCCAAACCAGACCTGGTTTCCTTCCTCCTTTAAATGTGAATCCCCATCCTCTACTTCCTGATATTAATTTTAGCAACAAGATTTCTGGGATGGTTTCTTGTGGACAAAAAACCCTAATTCCAACAGCACCTGCTTTTCCCAAGGAGTCCAAAAGTACAAGAATGTTGTTGAGGAGGCAGTCATTACAAACTGAACAGATTAAGCAACTAGTGAATTTCTGACAACTTAAAGTGTTAACAAATCTATACAATATGTAGATATATACAGCCTTATTCATTTCCAATCATGTTTACCATTCAAAGACCTCTGTACCCTATAAACTCTTACCAGGCAGCTTTTGGATGGCCCTCTGTCTTGGGATGAATGTAATATTTTAGATTCAGTGGGCACATCTACATGAGACCTTTACTGCACAGTTGACTAATAAACTGTGCAATAAATATCTCAGCATCTACACATGAGCCCATATTAGGTTGGAGTTAACTAAAAAAACCTCCACAACAGCACACATTTAGACGCTGGAGGGGATGACTGGGCATTAGGGTGCTTCAGTGCAGGGGCTGCCTGCTAGCTAGCCCCATGCTGAAGCTCCCTCATGCCCCAGCCAGCCCCTCCGCAGCACACTGAGCTGGGAGAAGCAGCCCCAGGCTGGTAGGCTGACTCCCCAGAGCTCCCTGCCAGCCAAAGCTGCTCTAACATGGCTCCCCAAGCCATGCATGAATAAACTCTGGAGCTTATTGATCCAGAGTTAATTGCTCCCGGGCAACCGTTCAGATGGCACACCCAAGAGCAATAAACCCCAAATCAATAAGCTCCGGAGCTTATTCATGCACGCTAATAGCATGTGTAGACATGTCCAGTGAGGGGAAAAATAAGCCTGCCCAGCTGGGGTTACACTGCAGCTATTTTCTGCAAGTCAATGGATATTTGTAATACTGTGTTTTGACATAAATTTTATAACAAAATCCTAAATACAAGGAGGTAAATCCAAAGAATGAATACTGCAGTGTCTAACTTTTAGGCTCCCTGCCTCCAAGAGGAATTCATGCGGTCCTGAATTAGGCAGCTAGGCTGCCTATGCAGTGCATAGGGAGAGTTTAGGCACAAACACATGGGATTCACAGAAGCTAGAATACTAAGCAAGGAGCCATCTAAGCTACCCTAGAAAAACTTAAGCCTCACCATCCAAGGCAGTTGGGTGTCTAACTGCACTTGGGATTCTCACTCATGAACCCTCTTCTAACCCAGGTCTCTTGAAAAAACAGTGAGAGTTCCTCACAAAATAGCTAGGGTGAGTTTGGGGGTTATTTTTTAATATCTGCTCAGTTGAGTTCAAGTTCCTCCTCTAAACTCTCTTAAATCCCTACAGAATGTTCAATTCCAAGATTATTGGATATCCTGAAATTAGTCTCTCTCAAGCTTTATCATCAGAGCTGTTCAGTTTGCTTAAATAATGAAATGTTTGTTCATTTGGCCAGAGAGAAAATTACTTTTTAGCTTAGTGGTTAGGACTCGTGGGAGGTAGCCAAGTTTCTGCTCCATGAATTGCTTAAAATTTCTTGCATAGGGTGAAGCAGCTTCACTAGATACAGATGCCTATACTTCAGTAGGCTGCTAGTAAGTGCGTACTCCTAGCTTGGGGAGATATGAGTTTTAAGTTTCTGCTCCAAACTGGGCAATGTGGGGATTTGAAAAAGGCTTCCGTTGCTCAGACAATTGCATAATCACTGAGCTAACAGTACTGTTTCTTTTGTCCTAGACTTATTTTGCTAGAGGCCTCCTCCGAGAATGCTTGTTGGATAAGGGCTTGAAGATAACATGCAGGAAAATGTCTGGTTTGGGAATGCCACTGGGACTTATGCATGAACTAGGGCAGTGAGCAACACTGACACATCGTAACAAGATTTGGGCTGTTGTGTCCATGCTTGCTGGTAGGAACATTAGCACCTAAACTGCTTGCAGACATTAAAAAAAAAACCAAACCCCACCCCCATGATTTACCAGAAGCAGCAGCATGTTCCTTTGACTTGGCTCCACAGCATCTGTATAGATCAGGCACTTCAGTGGGGCTTTTTGGTGCTTTTACCTAAAGCTGATTCAATCAGCTATTAGATCAAAGTGCCAAAAAAGCCCCACTAAAGCTCACAATCTTTACAGATGTTGGGCGAGCCGGGTCCAATTAATACGCTGTCTCTTCTGGACATGTGCTGGGCTCAGTGCAGCGGTGCACAGAATTTAAAATAAAACACCACTTTTTTTCTTTTCTTTTTTAACCATCCGCAAGCAGTCCTACATTTCTGGTAGTAAAATCCCCTGGGAACTTTAAGTATCTGCAGGTGTAGGCAGTAGCTGAGCAGAGATTTTGAGGGCCGCTATGGCACCTAAACTTTGGACTTGGATGCTTAAAATGGTAGTTGGGTTAAACCCTTTCTAGTTTTAGCCCTATGGGCCTGATTCTCCATTGCCTACATCTTTTGTAATCATTTCCACAGAACACTTCTATTCTGATTTGGTTTGACACCCAGTGTAAATTCATTTTGCATGGTTGCAAATGACTTCATAAAGCATAGGACAATGGGGAGTCAAGTTATTCTCCTCTTTCTACATTAAAAAAACTAACAGAAATAGTAGTAGAAGTTACAAGAGAGGAAAGGAGAACAGAATTGAGAGGTATAAAGTAATTCTAATTCAAAACATACTACAAAACTAGTGTAAAGTAACTGTTTTCATAAAGGAACTGCTTTTTTCAAAAACAAACCAATGTAATTCTATTAGAAAATTAACAAGTGTACTGTGTGTTATAATTTTGCCAGCAGTGTTAAAAAATGCAAAGAACTTGGTGTAACTTATTAACCAAAGGACTGGATAACAATTCCATCAGATGTTGGACTAAAAAATTGTACTTTAAGGTTTCCAGCATGGTTCCAGATATCTTTCTTGTTCCAGACATCTATCTTTGGTATTTGTATAAACTCCATGAACACTTTAAAATTAGGTTTCCATGTGGCATTTTATTGCCTGGCCTCTAAAAATGTAACAGTCTTTTATTTGTTAATTTGGATATGATATACAGAAGTGAGTCTTACTGATGTAGTAGTTGCATAATATGAACTATAATGATACTAAATACTTGCTTCTGGAAATATTAAGTGGATATCTGTGGTATTACAGCTTCAGCTTCAATTCAGATAGCATCACAATCTGTTTCCTAATGAATAGTTGTAATATTATTTCATCATGCCATTTGTATATGAACATTTCAATAGTACATATATCATGTCCCCTTTCAGTGAAGACTTCCTCATAATTCTCAGAACTCACAAAACATAACTTCCAAAGGAAGAAAATAATAGCTATGTGGAAGAGAGAGGGGAATGGTTGGTATTTGTGAGAAATCTAAGAATCTATAGTAAACCTTGTCCCCAAACAATTACAGATCTTAAAAAAATGGAATCCATTTCTTTATGCTCAGACCTGGTCCCTTAATCCATAAGGCAGAGGCAGGCAATTATTTCGGGCAGAGGGCTTACCGAGTTTTGGAAAGCTCCAGGTATCGAGGGCCGCATGGGTAGCCCCACCCCTTGACAGGTGCCCCGTCCCCTGGTTGCCATCTTGGGACTGGAAGTCCCATCCCTAAACTCTGACCTTTGCCACTGGAAGTCCCCCCCCGCCCCTTGCCCCTGGAAGTACTCCTTTGGGGAAGAGGTTTTGCCATCTTAGGGGGAAAAAACCCCCAAATGATATACTAAAAATCAAACACCCATAATAATATATTTTAATTAAAAAGATATATTTTTGTCCTGCTTTGTGTGTGTTTTGTGCTGTATTTAGAAGTGATTGCATAACAGCTCATAGTGCAGTCTTACTGTTGTATATTGTGTGGGGTGTGCAGGGGGTTATGGGTGGGTGAGTGTTTTGTGGGGAGCTGTGGGTGGGTGGGTATGGGGGTTTGTGTGGATGTGTGTATGGGTATGGTATTATGCGGGGCAGCTGGCAGGTGGGCCAGAGGTCTATAGAGCCAGGCTGGGCTGCCAGCAGGGAGAGACGGGAACTGGCCAACAGCTTGGTGGCTTTGGGTCAACTGTGGTGCACCTTGGCCTCCCGCGCAAAAGAGAGCGGCCCTTGTGGCACAACTTGGGGCCAGCGGTGTGGTTGTGGTGGCTGTGGGGCTTCGCAGTGATGACTACAGTGGAAGAGGACAACGAGGTGGGCTCGGCTGCTGCTACCTTATCACTGCACTCAAGGCAATGTGCAGTGCCACTTGTGGGAGCAGCTGCTGCCACCACAGTGCTTCCACAGTGCCTGGCAGCTGTGCTCCACCTCCCTGCACGGCTGCTGCCTCTAGGACCACACTGGCTCCTGCTGCTGCACAATCGCTGCAGTTCCAGCTGCCTCGGCCTGTTGCGGGGATGGTGCTGAGCACAAGTGGTGCTCGGCCACAGAGGCAGGGCTGTGGCAGCGGTGGCTGCCTGGTCTCATCACCTGGTGGCAGCCACCCACCACTGCAGCAGCGGCTGCATGCAGAGGCAGAGCACAGCACTGTGAGCGCAGTGACAAGGACAAGGCAGCAGCAGCCGAGCCCACCTCGTCCTCCACCATGGCTGCCACAACCACATTGGCAGCCCTGAGGGGAGCTGCAAGGGCTGCTCCGCCTCACTGCTGTGGTGACTGGCGTCTGCCGCTGTGGCCCTGCTGCCCTGGCCAAGCGCCACTTGCGCTCGGTGCCATCCCTGCTGCTGCTTTCACCACTTTGCTGCCCACCCGCCAACTGCCCTGCACCACGCGCCTGCTGGCTGCATGGCTGGACTGTGGAACTCAGCAGGAGCCAGCCTGGCCCTAAGGACTGGGGCGATCGCCACAGTCCTTCCCTACCCCTGCTTCTTACCTGAATTTCCTGCTCCAGTACAGGCACGAACAGCCCCCTGATCTCAACCCAGAAGCCTCTGTTAGGCTGTTGCAGGAGCCTGCCGTGGCTTCCCCTGGGTCCTACTGCCCTTGGCTCCTGTCATCTTTGATAGGAGCCAGGGGCAGATAAATATTATCTAAATTTTTTAGGGGCCCCACAAGCTGGATAGAATGGCCTGGTGGTCTGGATCCAGCCTGCGGGCCATATTTTGCCCACCCCTGCCAGAAGGGGGTAACTGTCTGGATGGGCAAGTGATACAGCTCTGTCTGTGCCCTCCCTTGTGTTGCTAAAGTGAGCACTGAGTCCACTGATATAAATTTTGTTAATTCAACTTCAGAGGGACTTTTCCACAGGCAAATGTGGGTTTGAGAAATGTTTGTGGTACTAAAAGTGTCTTTTCCCTAGCTACTATGGTTTAGCATCCATAGAACCACATATGCATATGGTGTGATAATGGCTGAAGAAATTATGCAGTATAGACATGTACTCTCCTTTCTACCATATTTGAGCATGATTACCACCCTGTTCCATGCAGGGCCCACAAACATCTGCTCTGAAAAAATATGTATTAACTTGCATTTTGTGAC